TTGACACTTAAGACTGGTTTTGTGGTCCAGGGTCACATATTTGCACTTTTCTGAAATTCTAGTGCCTAAGCTAATTTTATGAGTCCTTGTGTTTGCTTGTGACAGATACAGATTAAACCAGCTGGTCTCTGTACCTTGATGTTTTAAACACAGGGGGATGTAAAATGTAAGTAGGTGACAGTATCTTTAGCATATATTTTTTAATGGAATATGTAACCAAAATGTGTGGGTTGTTTTTTTTGTAAACATTTTATATATATTTTTTTCTACTTCAATGTAAATGCATAATTATCATTCAGTGCCAGCACTGTATTCAAAGACTGTATAAATATCCATCAGCAGAGATTTTGATGGGCACCTGTGCTTTTAAGATTTTTTTTCTAAACTTGTGACTGTAAAAGATGCTTACAGGGTAAAACTATGTGAACTGTAAACTGATAATTCAGTCATTTGTTCTAAAATTTAGGAGCACAGATTTAACTAAATATACAGAGTTTTCAACAACTTTTCAACTAAACAATTATATTATATATCATATCAGAGTCAGTGTGTGTCATTATATAAGTCATGGCAACTTTACTTCATATCAATGGTGTGTGCTTGTCCTTCAGTGAAAAGCATATCTTGAATGGCTCTTTTAACCATGCTTGACCTGACAAATACTTCAGATAACCTATTTTAAGCATCACAGTTCGAACAACAAAGAAACGAGAACAATGTCGTTTTCACAAGAAAGGACAGACTGCATTGTGAGGCAGTTATGAACATGTTGCACATTGCAGTCACTGAATCTATTAAAAAAGAAGAACAGCTTCACAAAATAATTATGTTCAGTGTATCTTCAGTAACCTTTCATCCGGTAGATCTCATCAAACTTATCATAGCTAAATTCCTTATTGACCTGCTGTTCAAATGACTTCTAGTAACAATAAACCTGGTCTTCATTTGGACAATGCTAATCTAGATGTAAGTACAGCATCTGATGTCATGTACTATGGAATACGCTTACACGACACATTACAAATGCATGTTTTTTCATAACCCTTGCACATTAAGAAAGAATTTGTTAAACTGTAACAGATGGAGAGGTCAAATGAGATGATGGAAGATCATATCAAATATAAAACAAAAGACGTGCTGGATTTTGGCCTTCTACCTGTTCAGACTTCAGCAATTCAATTCAAAGATATTCATGAATGATAAACAACTATCAGTTCCTGTTCTTTAGCCTCAAGGACCTTAACCTTGTGACTGCATTTGTACTTTGGACTCATATCACATGTTGTATTTGGCAGTGGGGATGCTGTTGTGGGTTCCTCACAGAGCTGCAGACTCTACAGATTGATCCAAAGGCAAAGTCTGACACCAGACTCTGCTTTCATTAATTTGAAAGTGCTTCTACCTTTTAAACACTTTTCTTAAGGACTAAGGGTACAACCGGTTTACTATAGCAGCTATATATGGATGTGAAGCCTTTAACAGGCTTTAAAATGCTCTAGTGTCAGTTATATGCAGTGAATGATTTATCTTTTTAGCATGACCTTTGATTTCCATCACAATTATGATGACAGCTGGAGGGTGCCATTCACACAGAAAGTTAGTGCTCATTCGCAAGGCACTACAAAAGACACAAGTGATTCAGTCAAAGATGTCTGTCTACTACAGTGGTTTTCAACCAGGAGGGCTGGAGCCCACTAGAAGGCCTTAGTGAATTTCCAAGGGGGCCTCAAGATGACTTCAAATAATTTTAAGACAAAACAAGCATTAAAATAAACAAAAATATATATATATACAAAGTTTTTTTTTTTAGTCACCCTTTCAAGAAAAGGCTTTTCATGGTTT